TCGTACCACTCGCCCAATTTTAAACAACATTTCGCACACAAATGACTCATCTCCGAGCCAGGCTTCATCTGTGCCTTCAATTCCATTCACTTTCTTCATTAATAAATGCAGCTCATTTTATCAAGTTTTCAACTTTTTCATTGTAGTAAACAAACGACGGTCAAGTGATTTATTCCACTCACAAAAGAAAACAACAAAAATTGAAATATATCTCCAGAAAATGGCTATATCTCCTCAGGAAAGCAAAATCGCTCGACAAAATATATGTTTTTTTGAATGAGGATATCCAGTTGGATCAATTGATGCAAAAAAAAATTCATACGATAGTGGACAAACTTGATTTTACGGTAGCCTTGAAGGTGGTACCCAAGACGGTATTAATAAAATGAAAGCAACCTTATCCCTGTCCAGATGCATCACAAGTGTTTCGAGTGTTGTACAAGCCAGATGTTCATGCTTCTCAATCCATAACTGCTTGCAAATAGCCAATACCAACGAGGGTTTATCCATCGGCAACGAACCCACTTCATTCAGTTTGAGGTTCGACGATTCGTGATGACTCAATCCCAGCAGACTTGTCAGTATTCGATGAGACATCGTCAATTTACCTTGTCGACGACACAGCGACGAAAACTTTATCCATAATGGACGCATTTCTTTCATTGATAGTACCAATGAACTGAAACGTTCACTTTTTCATATCCTATAGATCAGGCTTTCTCAATGAGATGGCGATGAGACTTTTTATTTTATTTTATTAACTCGGCTGCTACTGTCCGTTTCGTATATAAGCCTCTTCAAGTTATCACTCCAGTTATCATTATTATCACCGTTCACTGCTCTTCACATTCATGTTTGGCAGGCGGCTATTTTGCGAATATTGTNCACTCTGTGCATCTCTTCGCCCAATTGTTATTGTCCATTGTTGCAATTTTTCTTGCCCACTTAATTTTCCTTTTCCTTGGGCGACGAAATACACTGTCCAATACAAAGCGAACAATGAACAGTGAGTGATTTCAACCAACCAAAAAAAGAAAAAAGAAATGAATCGACGACAATTTCTCGCTACCAACGAAACAAGNCACTCTGTGCATCTCTTCGCCCAATTGTTATTGTCCATTGTTGCAATTTTTCTTGCCCACTTAATCTTCCTTTTCGTTGGGTGACGAAATACACTGTCCAATACAAAGCGAACAATAAACAGTGAGTGATTTCAACCAACCAAAAAAAGAAATGAATCAGTGACTATTTCTCGCTATCAACGAAACAAGCAAATCATCAATTAATTAATCGTTAGTATACGTTTAAAAATGTCAATAAATGCAATGAACGCAATCAAAATGATTGAATCTGAATTCAACAACAACAACAACACTGATGCGAACGAAAATGTTGGCGACATCATTTTCCGACATTATTCAAAAACAACAACAAATGCATCAAACAAACAAGCCAGCCTCTAAAATCAAGCCTCTAAAAAGCGACAATCCAATCACCAACCGAACAAGCAGTAACTTCGTCCAGTGTTCAATCTCCTGTCTACAGCCCTGCAGTCGTCGGCTCCACACCACTCCGATGCGTGTCCTTCTCTCGGGCCACATCTTGTACTCGATCGCCTCCTCTAGTTCGGTCAGTTGTTGCACCAGTGTCATCGCGCCATATGCACGCTCATAACTCTCGGATGCCATGGCAGTCAGTTCGGCATCTGACATGTCACGCACCTCAAACATCATCACCATATTTCTCACAATATCACTTCGCATCATAACAAGCACACATCCCACACATACCCACCTTATCAACGAACGTCAACGCATCTCGATATTGTTCCTTTCGTAACGCGACAACCGCACGCAAGAATGAACCATCTTGACTGTTCTCATTTATCTGTTGCACGTACCATTCCATTCGATCCCAGTCACCTGACATTCCTCTCTTCATTATTTTCACTCTTATTACTCGCTTTAATAAAATGCCACAACTATCGTCACTGGTTACTTATTGTTACTCGGACATCGAGCAGTTGTTTTGTTAATCGCTGTGAGCGATCGACGGAATATTTATTTTATTAGAGTTA